TATTCGTTTTAATTGGCTAATAAGCCAGAGATATATAAGTTATATATCTCTGGCCAGAGATGCCTAGAAAAACCCTAATTAACCCTGTTAAATAAATTTTAAATAATTAGAATATTGTACAAATCATGATTCAAAAATTAATATTTTAGACCTAAATTCTCGCTAAAGAACTTGATGGTAATTTCGTTTACAGCTTCAATATTAACTGGATCTTTGAAATCAGCTCCAGCTCCTGCGAAACCATGGTGCATATCAAATCTATGATGAACAATTTTACTAGCATATGGTTTGCTGGTAAGAACTGGATTTTTAACATATTCGCTTTCCTAATGATTTTTTTTTTTAAAAAAAAAAAATTGGTCTATTGTAAAATACAATTATACTTTAGTAAACAATCATATTTTTTAAGAACTTACAAGACAGGTTTATCTCTAGAAGGTAAAAATGCAATAGGACATTGACTTTCTTTAAAATTCTCAAGTGATAAAAGTGACAGATGAATCAATACACAAGCGTCAAATGCATGATCTTTGGCATGTTTAGAAGCGATCATGCTTGCGAAGATATTCTACAACTTGAGTAGTGAGTTCATGAACTTTTTTAGAAGGTGCATTTTTATTTAACCAGTCGGATACAAAGTTTCTTTTTTGGTAAGTGCATAAGGATAATTTAATGAGAACATAGTAATATTAGAATATTAAAAGTTTATAAACTCAGTATGTATCAATGTATAAAACAAAAAAAAAATTTAATGTTTTTCTTCTTTTATCTTGAAGCCTGCAAATCATTCTTAAATTTTTCAACTAACTACATTTTTCCTCGAAAATAATCAGGTAGTACAACAAGGAAACCTATTAGAATTCAATTAATTCTTTTCGAAAAATCATGTATTATAAATTCCTGAAATACAGTGTATCTGCGCATTATTTCAAAATAAAAGGGCAACTTCAAAGGCTGATCATAAATTTACTAATGAATTACATAGAGTACACGTTATTTTGCGACGCGTATGAAGGTGCTATTTTCGCCCATGTCCGTTATTTCGAGAATTTACGGTATTTTTTTTTTTTTACCAGTAAAATGCGGTAAAAACAAATTTTTTAACACTGACCTTGAGTTCCTAATATATCACAAAATTGCTTTACATTTTCATGAAATCCAAAAACATCGTAACAAACGATAATCGCATTTTTGGTTTTAGCTTCAGCAAATGAGTCAGGAACGACACTGTAGACATCGAAACCAGTGATATTTGTAATTACACCCTTTGGCACATAATCACTTTTTACTAGGGGAGTGATGGACAAGAAAAAGGCATAGACATCTTGTTCAGAACAGATAAGAAAAATTTTTTTTTGGATTTAATTGTCTTTATATACCTGTGAGAAATTTATGATAAACTATTACAAATCCTGATTCCTATTTTTTTTTTTTAGCAAATTTAATTTCGCGAATAATGTTTTCTATTTATTAATAATATAAAACTTTAATATAGGGATCGGCCCGCAGGCTTTTTTTGACGATTAAAGCGGCTTTACTTGTGCTGGTGATACAAACCCTAAAAAAAGAAACAGCCAATAACAAAATTCATGTTAATAAATTTGAAAATTTTTTAAAACTTCTAGCGATGATTTCCCAATAACTACTTAATCAGATTTGGTAAAAAAAAAATTTATCTTAATTCTATAGTATTATAGAATTAAAATAAAAAAAGTTTATTAAATTTTGTTATGTAGTTGTTGAGAAATCATCACAAAAAGTTTTCTAACATTCGTTTTTCAATTTTGGATAAGAATTATCTTACACTATTATGCTATTTTTGCATATCATATTATCAGTTATAATTTATTAAAACATCATAATATATATATATATACAGTACTTTATATATAACTTTGATATTTTACATCAAAAGATAAACCTGTTCCTGGTTTTAGTGCGACTATGTCGTGTAGCTACTGGGTTTTAATCATTATATTGAAGAGAGTCAAGGCTTTAAATCACATGTAAATAGTATTAAGTACATGATATATTTCAAGATTTCTTCACATGCATTTCTTTCTGTATAGTACTTTTGATTCAACTATAGATAGAGAAATTTTAAACAATGTTAAATTTTTGAGTATTAAAAGAAACCTCACAAACAATGGAATTTTGATACTTATAGACTATTTTTTTTTGAAAAACACCCTGGTGTATTAAAATAAACAATATATAGTAATTTTGCAATAAAACTAAAGATTTTGAATAAGAATTTAAAACCAGGGTCAAAGAAAAAATATAAAATAGTAGAAATATTAGACTTAGAGGTTAGTGTTTTTACATGTTTTCAGGAATGTGAAAATATTAACAAGTATAGATAGTATACTACACACTGTATTTTATGGTTACAGAGAAGAGCAACCAGTTATATTAGTGAGTTCAGTCACAATAGTGCCATAGTAGGCATACTTGTTGTGGGTTCACTGATTTTATAGAATGAATTAGCAACATATCTTTCTTAGTTATATACTCTTTATATAACTTAATTTTCAGAAATTCTATAAGAATAAAAAAGGCAAGAAAAACTTATCACTTAAACAAAGTTCTACTATGAAAAAAGAATCTAGATAACTGAAAAAGCATCGATCTTATTACAAACAACCAAAGTTTAATAAGAATATACTTAATAACTTGAGAAAAGAGCCCAAAAATGAAGTATGATATTAAACTTTTGATTTCTTGTTATTTGTTTTATTTTTTATTATCAAATGTTGTTTTTAAAAATCAGTAGATAGTTCACAACATAAATGTTACAAAAATATTTCACAAATATCAACAAGACGTTTTTAAAAAATTTCAATTAACTAAACTATTATGAAACAATACCTATAAAATATTGTAAGTATTATAAGACTTACAAATTAGAACATCACAGTTATACTCACATTTAAATAATGTACTTTTAGAGCACTAACTTCTATTATCATACTCAACTAATCCTGTTCTTATTCAAATTACTTTACTAATGAAGAATAGCAGTTAATTATAGATACAAATATTTACAGAATACATAAACTATTGGTATCAGCTTTAGTATCGAATACTCTTCATGATGCTATAATAAAATATACATGTAGTTAAAATAGCTTTATATTATCAGATGAAACTTCATTAAGTAGAACATTGTCAAGAACTTTTAATGAACTGTAAGTTAACATGTTTCTTTTAATTAATTTATAAATAAAATTCATTTAACAAAAATTCATTAACATATTTAGACAAAAGCATGTGCAGGGACGATGATTTTCTGCGGCAATAAGTAGCCAATTCCGTCCGTGATAAGTCTGAGTTCTGCAGGCTCTGTGCA